ATTTTTCTCCAATTACTTTTCATTTTAATTTCAACAGGACATTGTCTATTTCAAAGTTATTCTTAGAGTCTTATTTCACATTTCTGTGGTTACCAAACGTTTTTTTTTCACTTTCTCACTTTTTAACTTCAGTTTCTAAATGAAAAAAACAAGTCAGAAATGAAGCTGACTTAAGTTTACACTCTTTCAAACTAAAAAACATATCCCAAAAATCTTTCTTCTTTAAAGAGCTGAGAGTAAGATGCAACCAAAACTCATTGGTTACATGAGGTTAATTTACAGAACACCACAAAATTATGAACTCCAGCTTTCTTCAGTTAGGAATTAAAGCTGGTTATTATGGTGGTGGTTATCTGTAGACAAGTACCACCACCAGCCATCCTAGAACCTTAACCTATTGTAATTTTCTATTAATGGTGTTCATACCCATAAAGGGTTCAGTGTGAGTCCTTCAAGAGCACCACCAGTGCCTGCAGTGAGTAACAAACTCTGAGCAGACCTGGCCCAGGGCTCTCTGTTGTGCCCTGATTGCTCCTGGGGATCCTCCCCAGGGCACTGGAACCACTCTCTGACCCAGGGGACTGCCCAGTGAAGGGTGCCCAGAACAGGATGTTGACACTTTGTGGGCCCAAGGGTCTTGGCCTCCCTGTGGTACTGACAGATCAATCAAACACAAAGGCCTGGAGAAAATCTCCCTTTTCAGGTGATGGAAGGTAACTGATAAGAAGTTGAAGCAGATATGCAGATGGCAAGGAAGGAGAATGTGTTCTGCTTGGTGAGTGAACAGCCTAAAATAAATAAAAAAACAAACCCAAAAGGATCCGAAAAGGATAACATTTGGGGAGTGAATGTGACATATAGATAACCCTGTGCTGTCTGGAAACGACACTGCAAGCTGCTCTCAAAACCAAGTCAAAAGTCTGGCAATGTCAGAACAGAGCAACATAGGAAGTTCTTATTTTATCAAGCTCTATGAGAAAACAGAACAACAAAACTTCTTTAAACTAGAGCAGTATTTCTGCAGAAAAGATATCCAAATTACCTGAGCTGAAAATTTATTTTTCTTTCTCCCCACATATATAAATACCTGGATACCTGGCTGTATGCATATATACATCTTAGAACATATAACACATAAAGGAATACAGAAACTAATACAGCATTTTCAATTCCAGGCTTCTTTCACAGCAAGCAAAGATGATACTGCAAGGTAAATAAAATGGTGACTTGTCTACTGAGAACACTTCAAGTCTCAAGAATATTTACCATTTATAGGAGTAAGATATGAGAGCTGTGAATGGGAAATAAAATCCAGATCACATTCATGTCCTACAGTCTAATGGATTGAAAAACCTATTATTATATCTATTATATATTTAAAATCCCTATTAAATATTTTCCGAAAAATTACAGAAATCTCTATTCACTCACCTCATTTTCTGTTAGCTGATCAGGAAGTTCTTTCATTTCTGCTTCGACAGTATCTTTATTATCAGACAGAGAATCAAGAATATTGTCAGGACTATAATCTTCTCCACAGTCTACAGCACTGCTGTTATCTATTTCAGCTTCATCTAATACACTAATATCCATCATGTCAATATCCTGCAAGGTATCCAGATTCGCTTCAATATCCTCCTACAGAGACAAAAAGGGTAAATGTGTATTTATTGCAGGTTACACGATGCACATTCTTAGTAACTGCAATCATGATTTCACTTACCTGCCCATCCCTAGAGTTTTCTTCTAGACCATTGTCTTCCACACCTTCTTCTTCTGGCTTTCTTCCTAAAAACAGTATCATTGCAGTGAGATATAGCACTACATTTTGTAATATGTTTAAGCTATGGTGAATTACCCCTTGAACACTTGTTACGACAAGTAACAAAGAGGAAGTTAAGAGTTAAACGAGAGTTAAGAGGCTGATTCAGAAGTCTGGTGTGTAACTGAGCTCACCTTGCTACTCCACAAAAGCAGCCAGCAGGAGTATGAACTAAAAGCAGCACAGTATTTCCCTAAAGCTAAACTATTTTTCTAAAGCTACAGTCTCATTCCACAAGAATTCAATACCTAAAAAGACACAACAGCCACTGGATAATCCCTTTAAAAGTAACACCTTAAGACTGTTACGAAAACACTTCCCTTAATTAAACGGATTTAAGAATTAGTATTCACTTTCAAGATCTTGGACATACAAATCACGTTTATGCACATCTGTCACCCCCAAACTTGTGCTGCTATTCAAAGACAACAGCTCTTTTTCTATTTTTAGCCACTCTGTTTTAAAAGAAGCAACTTAGTAGTCTGTTTCTCATCAGAAAGTATTTTTAAGAACTAGCTATGAGCAACTCAAGTAAGCCACATGTAAAATTGCATGTACAATATTTAATATTTTGAAGCAACATACAGTTAAATATAATTTAAATATAATTGAAATATAATTACAGAGGCTTTCCATGGAGCTTATGCTACAGCTGTTTACTCTGTACCTGTGGTCACAAATACAGAAACACCTGCAATTTACAGTTTTGTCTTCAAGTTTTGAGACTTACTAATAAAACACAGTCAGGTGTCATATTATCATTGAAGTTATTATTGCTCATTAATGCAAAAGAGTTTTACCATTTTCCACAAGGTAAAAAGAGATTTTTTTAATTTTTTTTTAATTAAACTAATTCAACAGGAGAAAGCAAGCTTGTATGCCAAGTTCTAGCACCGTGCAAACAGCAGAACTGCAAGTGTCCAGACACCTTACCTTTGCTAATTCTTTTTGGCATTCTCTTTGTGGTCAGCTCTGAAGCCACGGGAATTTCGTCAGGATCTCCTCCTTCCTCCTCAATGGCCTGTTGGAGACAGCAGGATGATCTCCAATGCATCATTTGCTGGTGTGAATTTGTACTGGCTTTGGACAGAGCAGTTAATTCTCTTCACAGCAGCTGACAGGGGCTGTGGTTGGCGCTTGTGCTGAGAGCAGTGCTGATAACACAGGGATGTTTTGGGTACTGCTGAGCAGAGCTTACACAGTGACAAGCTTTCCTGCTTCTCACTCTGCCCCACAGGTAGGAGACACAAGAAATTGGGGACAGAGCTGGACAGCTGCCCAAAGGGACATTCCAGACCAGAGGGTGTTGTGCTCAGCAGTAAAACTGGTGGATCCTGGCGGGGCTGCCATTACTTGGGATCAGCATCAGTTGAGCTGGTTGACAGTAAAGAATTATTTTCTTTCCTATTGCTTGATTCTCTTGTGTGCTTTATTAATTCCTTTCATCTCTGCTGGCCTTTTGTTTCACTCTTATATTTCTTAAAATTATAAACTTGTCTTTATCACAACCCCATAAGTTTACTCTGCCTTTTACCCTTCCACTTCTAGCTCCCAGCCTGAGTGAGTGGCCATGTAGTGCTTGACTGCCTACTAGGATTTAACCACAACTGCATTTTTAAGGATTTTTCAGAAAGAAACACTGGTGTCTCCCCTAGCTCAAGTCATACAGCCAGGCTGCTGTATCACCTGTCAGAAATACTAATTAGAGGGTGCAACACATCCCCACAGCCAAATTAAGCTACAGCTGGGGAGCAAAGCTCCCTGCTCTGCAGGTAAGTACATTAACGGTACAAAACTGGGAGAGACTCTTACAGGAGCTCTTACATGAGGTTTTTTTCTCAATGTGCAGGCCTGTTAGAAGCCATAAAAGGGCCAAGGCTGACTGTTCTGGCCTTATGGAAGTCTGTGGGAATACATTCCAGAGAGGTCGGAGAGATGGAGTCGGGTCAAGTGTGGTTGGGCCAAGCATTAGGGCAGAAACTGATGTACAGAAAATTCCACCTAAATAGGATGATAAAATGCTTCACAGTGCGAGTGAGCACGCACTGGAACAAACTGCCCAGGGAGGGTGTGAAGTCTCTCTCACTAAACATATTCAGGAACTGTCTGGACGAAATCCTATACCATGGGCTCTAGGACAAAACACTGTTAGAGCAGATGACCCACTGCGATCCCTTCGAACTTTACCCATTCTGTAACGGGTATAGCGATAAAGTACTGAAAGAGATAAGGGGAAGGGGCACGTGTGTGTATGCCGGGGGAACGGGAGAGTAAATCGGGGAAGGACGTCGGGGTCAGGCAATGAGGGAAAGGTCGGGGCCATCTCAGATTCCATCCAGTGCAACCTGAGCCGCGCTCCAGAGCAGCGATGGAGCACGGGCGGCGGAATAGGCGCCCACGCCACAGAGCGGTGTCGTGAAACAACGGCTCTACAGCAGCGGGAGCAAAGGGGACACGCCGGTGCCCAACAGCAGCCCATGGGTACCCGGCGGCAGCAGCGAGGCACCGCTGCCCTCAGGGCTGCCCCGCTCCCGGCGCTGGGCCCGGCCCGAGCGCGCACGCGCCGAGAGCGCCACAGACAAAGGACCCGGATGGGCCCACGCCGCTCCCCCCGCCTCCCCCGCCGCGCTTCGCCTCACCTTCCTCAGCCGCTCCATGAGGACGCTCTTGTTGCCGCCGCTGTCCAGGTTACGCCGCTTGAGCTCAGCCCGCAGGTCGATGACTCGCAGCTCACTCAGCCGCCGGGTTTCAGGTTCCGAACCAAAAGCCGCGGCCCCACTAAGGGATGTGAAATCCCCCAGTCCGGCCGCTGATTGACTCTCCGCCATCAAGGCCCCTTCAGTATTTCGCCTCGAGCCCGAACGCGCAGGAGAACACGGCACAACCCAGCAGCGAACCTGGCGATCACGGCACAAAATGGTGGGGAGCGAGACGCGCCGAGGGGAGGGGGAACAAAGCGCGCTGTGCGCAGGCGCGGGCGGGACGGAGCGGTGGGGGGGCCTGGCGGGAGAATGGCCCCACGCAGGCGCGAGCGCCGTCGCCCGCGTCCAAGGACGGCTCGCGCGCTGTCGCGCATGCGCGGGGGGGGCCCGGGACCGCGAGCCGCGTGACGCCGTCGCCGCTCCGGAGTTGGCGGCGCCGCGGCGCGCGCAGCCTGGCCGGGCCCCGGCGCGCATGCGCGCTCTGCATCTCCCCCTTTCCCGCCCCCTCGCTCTCGCCTGCGCCTCGGGGCTCCTCCATTTTGTGCTGCGGCTGCGGCGCTCCCGCGTTGTTTTCACCCCGCCTTGCCCTGCGTGCTCGAATCGAAACCACGGCCCATGGCTGAGAGTCACTCACCGGCCGGGCTGGGGGAGTCTGCGTCCCTGGCCGGGCCTGGCGCCCCCGGTTCAGAGTCTGAAAGCCGGCGGCGGCCGCTGAGCGAGCTGCGCGTGATAGACCTGCGGGCCGAGCTCAGGCACCGCAACTTGGACAGCGGCGGGAACAAGAGCGTCCTCATGGAGCGGCTGAGGAAGGTGAGGGCGGGCGGGCGCGCTGGGGCTGCCTCAGGGGTGGGTTTAGCGGCTGCGATCCCGGCCCGGCGGGCACCGCTGAGGAAAATGGCGCTAAAGAGCGCCGGGGCTGCGCCGGGGCCCGCCGGGATCGGTGCGAGCGTTCGGTGCCCGGCGAGACCGGGCCTGCGCCGGGCCGTCCCAGGCTCGCGCCGCTGTCATGAAGTGTCACCGAGGCCCGCTCCGATTGCAGAGCTCGGAGTCTGCCGTGGCGCTCGGCCCGGGTATTTCTAGCTTCGTGCACCGCAGTCTTCCTCTGTTCTCTGAGTTCCTGGGTTTGCAGTTCTGTGTGCTGTCTGTCGGGCTTTTTGCTGCGTGCTGATGTTTTTCTGGCGATCGAGCTGGTATCCCGTTCGCTGTATCCTCATCGCAACGTCTCGTGTGTTAATAGCATGTACAACTCCTTCTCCGAGCTGCTGCTTGCTGTGTCCCAGAGCCGAGGTTTTTCTCTTGTCACAACAACCCGTGTGTCTATGCACAAGTCACAAATGCTGTAGGATTGTTTTTGTTTTGCTGACTGCTTTCCTGAAACCTTACACCAACATGTTACTGCCTTCTGCCTGCTTCTTGCTTTGGTCTGGTGGTTTTTCGTTCGTGTATCCAAGTTGCTGATTCATGGTTTGGAATTTTTCAGCCTCTGGTGTTCAGCTCTTAAACTCAACGAAAGTGTACAAATGAAATTTTTTACATCCGTTTTTACATCTGTCCTCCTCTTTTGCCCCTGCTAGGCTATTGAGGAGGAAGGAGGGAATCCTGATGAAATTCCAGTGGTTTCAGAAAATATAATGAAGAAAACTCCCAAAAGAAGCAGCAAAGGTACTGGGCAGTTAAGAGAGATTTTCCACCTTATCATCCTTGAGTGTTCAAGCAAGTGTACTCATGAAATTCAGCCTTTGTAATCTTTTTTGTGTTACTGGTACTCTTCCCCGCATTTGTGTTCAGGGTTCTCTGAGCATATATCTCCTGTTGATATAATATTAAACTTAGTAGATATTTATTCAGAGAATTTCATGTGATTTAGTAAGGCAGGAAATGTTGAAGGATCTCTTGGTTTGTTCTCAGAGTTCCCTGAAATTTGTATTAAGAATTACCATGTAACATTGAAACAGTGTCAGTGTTTTTAATACTTTTTTATTGTGTAGAAATGCAGAGTTTCTATCCTGGAAATTCTAGAATGTTATACTTCACAGCTAATAGCAGTTGTGATTTTCTTCCCAGAAGACAAGTTTTTAATCAGTTTCTGAAATTAGATATGTTTTCAAGGCCTTGGTTTTTGTAGTGGTGAGACAGTCTTACATAATCCTTATTTTCATCCTTATTAGCACAATTTGATCTTATTTTGTAAGCAAATAGTGTTTAAAACTTTGCATTGGTGCTGAGAAAAATAACTAGTTTAGATAGAGTATTTTCATTACTAGATCTGGTTTACACTAAATGTAAATATGTGACATGAAACTTGAATATTTTGCCAGCTAATTTGTTTGATTTTTTGTCATTACATCTGATTTGGAGTGACAGTGCAATTGCTTGCAGGCTAAAATGTGAAATCTTGATTAGATAGCGGGCAAATGTCACAACTCCGGGTGAAAGAGATCTTTTTAATCATATTGTTTTTAAAGCATCAGAAAAAAACCTGATGTCCATTACAGCACTTTCAGTGTTGGGGTGGACATGGATGAAATGTTCCTCTTGGCTCTAAAACCCCTCTCACTTTCCAGTTGTAATGTGCTTGTAGTTTTTGTGGAAAATAACGTTCATAAAAGATTAAACAGCTGCTTAGCTCTGAGTTTGAGAAGTTGCTCTTTGGTGCTGAAGCTGGTGTAGTGTTTTCAGTAATGCCAGTTGGGATAATTCACGTCCAGCTGGTGGACAGAACACTGTAGTAAAACTCACAGGTAGAGTGGGGTTTTTTCATTATTTTGTGCTGTGTTTTGTTTGGTTGGGGTTTTTTCTCTTCTAGTAAATGTCTGTAAAGGAATGAAAGGTTGAAGTAATAAATTGCTGCAATCTGAGCTGAGCCAAATGTTCTGGGGAGGTCACAGAGCTTGAGCTCCTGCCAGGTGTTGGACTCTGGAGTGTTTGTCACTTACTGGGGTGGTAACAAACAGTCGTGGGAAAGGGGAAGAACTGAAGAGAATACCAACTCTGGTGAAAAAGTAAAGCTTGAAGGGTACAAGTATAATTCCTGCTTTCATTCTAATGATGATAATATTGTTAGGACGTAGACCAGACGAAGAGGGAGTGGAAGATAATGGCCTGGAGGAGGATTCTGGAGATGGACAGGTACAGGGGGCTGGGTTTGGAGGGCACTGATGGCAGATGGCTCTCAAGTCACCCTGGCTGTGACATGTGCTTTTTTTCTTTTCACAGGACGATATTGAAGCAAGTTTGGATAACTTGCAGGATATTGACATGATGGATATTAGTGTGTTAGATGAAGCTGAAATAGATAATGGCAATGCAGTAGATTGTGGAGATGATTACAGTGCCCATAATATTCTTGACTCGCTGTCTGATAGTAGAGAAAATGCTGATGCAGAAGTGAAAGAACTTCCAGATCAGCCTACACAGTATGCTGTAGGTAACTTGGAGGCATCCCCACAATTTTCAGAAATTAAAGAAGAATCAAGAGAAATACCAATAGTGATGGTATGCATCTCTAATGTGTGTGGAATCAGGGTTTTCTTTTCTAAGTTTTATTTATTTCTAAATTATATAGCAAAATGGTGGCTAAAGAGTACTTGGGAAAATTTGGGACTGTACTGGTTCTTATGGTCGTTGATTTTCTTTTTACATATTTGTGGAAATATGAGTCTTAATTTTAAAAACACTTAAATGTTGTTTGTACGTATGATTGTATTAATAGCAGTTTGCAGAGCATTTGTAATCATGCTTTGAACTCTGCTTAATTTTATTAAGTATAATATATATGTATTATTCCTATTTTCACATCTTTATTGTAGAGAACATGTGAGGCATACAAATAGTATAGCTTACTTTCTTCTCAACTGAACAGCACCATTCAGAGAATCAATTTCAAGGTTATTTTTCTGCTAAGATTGGGTCTTGCAGTTATTCATTTGCTGAAAGTATTTTTGTGTTGGCTTTCTGTGTTCATCTGGCTGTTGACACTGGCTAGAGGACAATCCTTTCCCCCAAAATCAAGTGTTTTATCTCCTGAAATATGCAAGAAAACATTTGAAAAAAGTTATTTCTGCTCCATCTAATGGGGGAATATTGCTCTTTGTTGTGTGTTCACATGAGCTTCTAAAGTTGTGTGGTTCTTTTCTAAAGTTGCAGAAATAAGCTTATCCCCAGGCATATCCCTGTCTTACACAAATCAAATGGAAATACTCAGAAAAAAGGGGTTTTTTTTTGAGTGAGTAAATGTCTTGAGGCCAGGTTAGATCCCATGATCTGCTTTCATCAGTGAAGGAAATGATTATCAAGTCCTGTAGGTTTTTTGGGTCTGTATCATTGCTGTGAATGGCAGGGATACAAATCAGAGAAATTTTGCTGTTGGAATCCCCATCCTTAAAAGATTTTTGCGAGCTGACCATCCTAGGTAAGAGATAATGAGAGAGCTTATTCAGTCAGTGGGGATCAGGAAGAGTCTTGGGAGTTTATCACTCAGTTTTTACCATTATTGGTTGCTTTAGATACTGGATGTGTTTGCTGGATAACAGCTGTCAGTGCAAATACAAATCTTCAGTTTCTCATTCAGGTTTCACTCACAATATTCCTTTGTAGATAACAAGATGTTTCCCATTTATTTTTTAAAGGTAGAGTTTGAAGATGTTGGGAACAGTTTAGATGCTTCTTCATCAGATTTAACCGTAATAAAGGTAAATGGTAGCCAGTTTTTCTTTACAAACAAAAAAAAGCATAAAATACACTATGTAATACTGTATGTTAAAACAGTATGCGTACAGTGGGTGCATTCTTACTTTGCAAAGAATAGGAACTACTGCTTTTTAATTTACTCATAAAGACAAAGACATATTTCTTTATCAGGTCATACATATAATATATATAATTATGACATATGTGTCATACTGAGTTTGGTGGTAGATTGGATCTCTTTTATCTGATGGAAATACCAGCTCAGTGCCTTGCATTAACTTCCATTAAAAATGTACATATCCCACGGTGAGAAGAAAGCTGGAACTGTCTATTCCTGAAATGCTGGCCTTGTTTCCAGAGCAGTCCTGGCAGGTTAAGAACATCATTTCCAGGTGAAGCTGGTGTTTCTGTTGATCTTGTTTTCAGAAAAGAGACTTCAAAAAATACAGGGTAGAGAAGGATAACAGAAAGATGTTATGTTAACTTTCCTCTATGCTACTTACATGTACTGATTTATTTACCCATGTGAATGTGTACCATGTGTTCAACAGGTGGCTGTATTTCAGAGGTCTTAAAGTTTTCACAGACTTCATGAAACCTTGAGGATGTTAAAAACTCACCTTAAACCTTCTTCTGAGATATTTATTTAAAGTTCAATGTTCTCAAAGCTGAAATAGGCTAAATTCTAGTAATGCTTTCACTAAATACTCTCCTGTAATGGGTGGTTAAGAGATGTCATTCAGAATAGCATCTTCCTTATGAAATAGTGATATTTCTCATTTTTAAAATCTTTTTCACTACAGGAACTTGAAGAGTTACCTTTGGAGCCAGGTACTGTTTGTTTTTGTTTGGTTTACTTCGATTTTTTTTTTTTTTAAATGAAAAAAAATCCTGGGCATTTTAAGAGTTTCATTCTTCATTTAGGCTTTTTGCGTCCCTGTTTGGTTTCTTTGGTTCTTTTTTTTAATGCATTACTGTAGTGTACGTTATTATGGTGGAAAATCCAGGTCATGCAGGGTCATAGAGATTGGAAACCCAGTCATATCACCAGATCTGTGAATAATCACCCTTGGAAAACGTGTTTAATGCCATGAAATGGTTCCCTAGAACTGTTACTGCAGAGTAAAGTTAAGGAACGAGCCTTAAAGATATAAAGGTTCTGAAAACAGATCTTGTGATATCACACTGTACAGTGGTTCTGTGAATAAATATAAATACAGGAGTGTAGGCAGTGCAAAGCTCTGGTGCAGAACAGAAATTAAAGAGTGACTGGACGTCGGAAGAAGGAACATGCTGCCGTCACAGGAATTTGCTACAGATCCCACTCGCTTTCTGGACTGAAAACACACTCAGAACCATCAGAAGATGCCCAGTTCTCATGTTGGACTGTCTCTGCTAAAAGAACTTCACAGAAATTTGGAAAATTGAACTCTCAGTGCCTTGATACGTTCAGTTAAGCATCTCGGACTCTGGAAGCTAACTAGAGAAGAAACAGCTGAACGATTTGCTGAAGAATATGAAGGCTGAGCCCGAAGTTTTTTGTTAAATCTGTGGGGGCATTTTTCTTGCCTGTTGAGGTGCTAGGGCTGATTTGGCAGGGTGTGAGAGAGCAGTTAGCGTGGTAGGTGTAACACTGTGTACACTAGGGTTTTCCAATCTCTGTGTAGCTTAGCAGTTCTCTTGGTGTTAGTGTGGCAGCCATGCCAGTTCCACATTTGTGATTGCTGTATTTCCCTGGTGATTAAATCTTGTGCCATTCTATTCCTGTTAAATCCGTAGAAAATGAGAAAATACTCGACATTTTGGGGGAAACTTGTAAATCTGAGCTACTTAACGAAGAACCTCCCGAAGCGGAGCGGCCGCGTGCGCAGGAAGCCAGTAACGCGGGGCCAGGCAAGAGGCTGGCTGAGGAAGAGGACGCTCTCGCTGCCGCTCAGCTGGAGGAAGATGCTTTAGCTTTGGACAGCAAATCGGCCCAAGCTTTGGCAAGGAAGGAAGCAAAGCGTTTAGTGGTAGCAAAAGGGGAGACAAGTGAACAGAGCCCCGAGGAAGAGGCCCCGGACTCTGAAGGTGTAGTGGTAGAGACCCTAAGCGATCAGAGTAGCAAACGCTCCCAAGGCCTGGAAGCCTCTAGTGGGGAGACAGCGGAGAAAGGCGCAGGTGCCGAAGCCAGAGATAGCAAAGAAGATGGCAAGAGAGCAGAAGACAAAGCTAATTCAGAGGAATCTTCCCCTGCCACTAAAGAGTCCTCAGCCAGTGAGGGCGGTGATCAGAAAAAGAGGTTTGTTTTTTCTCCGTTCTAGACCAGATGCTATCTTTTATCGTTGGTCCTTAAGTGATGCGCATAAGCTGTTTCCTTCAATTGGCCTCCGAGACTGATGAAATTGTAGCCTATTCCTAAAGGTCTCTTTTATTTCTCCATGTGCAGATATTTTTATTTTTTTAAACGCAGTGGGTTTGATTTCTTTCCTTCCTCAACCTTCAAAGGTTGTTTTCCCCAAATTACTCTTATTTCTGTCATCTGCAAAAGAGAATTGTCCGTTTAGGGGTACAAATCCCTATTTCCTGTCACTCTTCTAGAAATTTGCCAATAATAGTGTTTATTTTGGAACTAATTTACTGGTAGGTATCCAATTTTAGTTGTGCTGTCTAGAATTAATGTTTTTTTTTACATATGATCTCTTGAGTAATGTGGTGTTTTATCTTTAGCCCTGTTGAAGACAAAGATGCAAAGGCAGTCGCAAAAGATGAGAAAGGTATGTTTGAGGTTTTTTGGGGTTTTTTTATGTACAGAAGACCTGGAGTAAAACAGGACTGTTAATTCAGAGAACCCTCAATGCAGATGTAGCACCTCCCTTCAAAATATAGCTTTAAATTATAATTTCCTTGTAACTTCTGGAACATTGTTAACAAAGAAAGTTGGGGTTTGTTTAAAATAAGGAGTCTTTTGGGAATTAACATATGATACTTTGTAATTCTCTTAAAACTGATTGAAGAACAGGAAAAAAATCTGGCTACAAACACATTAAGGCTGTTCAAATGCGCATGAACTATGGATTTCAGATGTTCATTTTTGCAGTGTGGGCATTTGCAGTGTGTAGCCTGCAAATTGTTTTTAAGAATAAATGGAAGAGGTAGAATTAAAATTGCCGTGGAAGAGTTTTATGAAGGAAGAATGGGGGAGGTTTTAAGACCCTTTAATTTTGCATTGCTGCATTTGTGTTTTACATGGTCTTTTATGTTTGGCTCTTTTGTACCCCAGGCCGTGTGGGGAGTGGTTCTGGCAGAAATTTGTGGGTTAGTGGCCTTTCCTCCTCTACTAGGGCTACAGACTTGAAGAATCTTTTCAGCAAGTATGGAAAGGTACGTGGTGGATATGTAAATTAACAAACCATTCTGTCAGTTTAAAAGGCTGACTGTAAATTTAGCTCTTATTTTCCCTAATGAATAACTGGGCAGGCTGAGTTCTTAACTTTGTGTTCTTTGGAAGCTCTGTATCTGAAAGGAGCACAGTTCAATAAAGAAGATTTAAATGGAGGGGTGGGAGTGGAGGTGGAGTGTGCAGAGAATACCTGTGAGAATGAGGCAATTCTTGACAGGAGAGACTGGTAGATCATCATGTAGTAGCCTAGATATGTCTTGAGTATCCAGCAATAGTTAGTTCTTTTTTAAACTATTCCATTTCAAAGGGCATCCTCTGGAGAAATCCAGTCTTTGAGGACAGGCTTCCACTCATTTTACAGTGCCTGCTAAGATACAAGAGTAGAAGTTGTGGAAGGGGACTCTCTGTGGTACCATCTCCCCTTCTGCCAAATACTTTTCTGAATGTAATATTAAAGGTTTATGTCACTTAAGTGCCACTGCTTATTGGAGATTGTCATCTGTGGGTACAGATGTGTCCTGTAAGGAAAGAGAAAGTGGTAGTAGTTTAGGTGGTTCAATTTTATTTTGGTTTTTACAATCCCACTCTCCCTTCTCTGTATATATCTGCCTTAAGCTCCTGACCTGCTCAGCAACTTGAAGATGAATTTCCTGAGCTGCATTATTGAAGATGTCCCTGTGACAGGGGATTGATTGAACTAAATGGCTTTTAAAAGTCCTTTCCCATCCAAACTGTTCTAAGAAAGGGTGATTAAGTTAGAATTTATTTAGTGACAGACCTGCAAACACAGAATATTTGGTTTTTTCCCAAAGGTGGTTGGTGCAAAAGTGGTGACAAATGCTCGCAGTCCTGGTGCTCGCTGCTATGGCTTTGTGACAATGTCGACATCTGAGGAGGCCACCAAGTGTATTAATCACCTCCACAGAACAGAGCTGCATGGTAAAATGATTTCTGTGGAAAAGGTAAGGAGTAACTGTTTTGTGACAGTGTAATGAAAATAAAAGCATGCAATTTTAATCTCCTGTCTCTGACTGTGTAATTATTTCTGGCTGAATTTCTAGGCAAAAAATGAACCAGCAGGAAAAAAGCCTTCGGACAAAAAGGAAGGTGAAACAAGGAAGGAAAAAGACAGGCACCATTCTGCAGAGTCCAAATCTGAGAAGTAAAGTGTTGTTTTGTATTTTTTGATATTTAAAAACGTCTCATTTCAATTACAGCCAGGTGACCAAGTTGAACAGTAACTGTAATAAATTGATTTAATGTTTCATCCTGCATTTGAAATAGTAATAATGCTTGGAAAGTTGTTGTTTTCCAGTAGTAAGAGCATCTTAACTGGTCCTCTGTTCAGAAATACAAAGCCTCTTTAGTGTTAGCATAAAAACTTGTTAGCCATATCAGGAGATACTGAATCAAATTATTTTTAGGTAAACCATTATTTTTACCAGTTGTTTGTCATCTGATCTTACTCTGTCTTGGACTCTTAACTGATAAATACTTCTAGGATTTAGTGTGTTTTTCTGGTAGGCTGACTGTGGTTAGTGAGTGATACTTCCAACACTGGTTTTTCAAGTGCTTTGTTGCTTTTGAAAGAGGCATGTTGCTTTCCTGCTCTTTGTAGGTCTGTTGGTATTAAGAAGGAGGAGAAGATCGACAAAAAAGATGATGCTAAGAAATCAGAAAAAGATGAAAAAGAAGGAAAAGAAAAGGATGAACAAAAGACTTCTGATAGATCCAGGGCAAGCAAATCAGGTGATGCTGGCTGTCTTTCAGAAATGTTTTCAAGGATACTTGTATATTTTTAGATGTGATTGATAATTCAGTAAAAAGAAGCTTTCTTAGTAAAACTGACACAAACCTCAGAAAACACCTTGAAAATTTTGAATGTATTTTCTAGTAATTTATAACAGAGTTTGCATAATTTTTATGAAACTGTCACTGGGTTTAGACCTGACACTGTGGTTCTGTGTCCTTTTGGGTTTTTTTTTTAAAAAACTATGGCTAAGGATATATTTTGTGGACAGGAGAATTGAATTAAATTTGTGTTCTTTTAGCTGTCATCCCTGCCAGAAAATACTGCTGCAATTTTGTGATAAATTTACTACCCACATCCTCAAGTTAGCAAATTCTTGTCAAGACCCTTAAATCATAAATAAGTTCCATATAATGTTAGAAAACTTTTTACTATTTAGTATCTTCACAGTTTTGAATCTTGCAAGAATTGTTGAATGTCTTTTGTACCATTTATTTTTGCTCTATTTTGTTTTCCAGCAAGTCGAGGAACCGAAAGGACAGTGGTAATGGATAAATCTAAAGGAGAGCCAGTTATTAGTGTGAAAACCTCTGCATCAAAAGAGAGGGTAAGGCCAACATCCAGAGAAGCTTTTGTGTAAAACTAGGTGTCAAATAGATTTATGTGCTCAGAGATGAAGGGTTTTTAGCCTTGCATATTGGTACAATTATCCTTTTATCACTTTCTGGAAAGCATCAGGGTCTTAATGATGTGGCAGATGGAAAATGCTTCTGTTTCACCTTTTTTATACTTTTTCACTGCTGACCTAGTCTAGTGGTAGAAGTCGAGTTGCAATATGAAAATGGTGTTAGGATGATGTGTTTCACTGAGCTTGGAATGTTACTGATGTGTGTTGTTTGAAATCAGTGCAAGTCAGGTTGTGTTCTCTTAGTATTTACTTATAATATTTAGAAGTTCTAATCAAATTTAGGGTACTTTTCCCTGGAGTTCCACTGCTGTTTACCTCTGGGGAAGGTATAGTAGCCTGTTTTGTTCAGGTTGACATAGTGGAGGTATTTGCCTAGGACTTTTAGCTGGAAATGCACCGTGTTCAGCTTATGCATTGTTCTGGTTCATCTCAGAGCACAAAAAGCCAGGACCGCAAATCGGAGAGCAAAGAAAAGCAGGATATTTTATCATTTGATAAAATCAAGGAGCAGCGGGAACGGGAACGGCAGAGGCAGAGGGAGAGAGAAATCAGGGAAACGGAGAGGCGCCGGTGAGTTCCCAGTTCCTTTAAACTTTAAATGGCATTTTTTACTCCCTTACCTGCTTTGTGTTTTGAGCAGGCTGCAAAGCAGTGCTGTGCTGATCCTCCAACAGTGATATCTCAGATTGATTTCATACTAATTACTGCTAGAACAACATAATGCCAAGTGCTGGAGGCTTTTACTGCTGAAATCAGTGTTCTCATGAGACTTCTGTAGGTGCTTTCAGGCTTTGTGTTCCACTTGACCGGATTTAAATTTCCTTCATTTTTTTTTCCCAGAAGCTTGTAAATACTTTTTGTATGTCAGGTTTCTGTCTTAGGACATGTTGTGCTCTCTGAAAGCTTTTTCAGACCTGACTTAAGAGTAGATATTGTGTTACTTATGCAGAATTCTCACCTTTGCTTCTGTCATTTGTATGGAGTTTTTTATTTTCCCCTAAGCTGTTTCTTAGTTGGGAAGAAGGGGGAGAACATAGAAACTTTTATTTTTTTAAAAAAAAAAAAGGTAAAACCAAACAAGAAACCCTACCCAAAAAAAAGAAGCAGTAAAGCTTGGGCTGAAGATTCTCAATTGAAAATCAAGTATCTCTTTTAAATTAGAGAGAGAGAGAGAAGAGACCGGGAGCAGCGCCTTGCAGCCATTCACGAGCGGGATGAGAGACAGAGGCTCCAGAGGGAGCGGGAACGGCTGGAATTCCAAAGGCAGCGCCTGGACAGAGAGCGCTTGGAGAGGGAGAGGTTGGAGAGGGAAAGGATGCACATAGAGCAGGAAAGGAGACGGGAACAGGAGCGAATCCAGAGGGAGAGGGAAGAGCTGCGACGCCAGCAGGAGCAGCTGCGCTACGAGCAGGAGCGGAGATCTGCCATGAGGAGACCTTACGATCCTGACAGCAGGTGAGGAGCAGGGCAGTGGAGCTCCAAACTCCTCTGGGAGCCTGTGGAAACGGGGAGCACCCTGGATAAGGCAGCTGTGGGAGCTCACAGCTGGAAGACTCTTTATGTGCTGCTTTTAACACTAACAGCAATTTGAAGAAGAGCAAATGCCATGCTTGTACACTTGTTCTGCTCTACTCTTACTTCCCAAAGAGGGATGTCCAAGAGTAGAAACTCAGTGTATCAACTCTTAAGGGCTAGTGGGAAAGATACTCATTCTCTTTTCATGTCAGCACGTGCTGAAATTAAGCTGGTTTTGGTAAACCAAATTTTCTCTGAAACCAAAACACAGCTCCTGCTTAACACACGTAGATTTTTAATGACTGGGTTGAATGAGGTTTGAGAGAGCAGGAAAGGGGAGATGGTTCTGGGATTGCTGCTGACGTGCCCCCGTGTGCAGGCGAGATGATCCGTACTGGCCCGAGGCGAAGCGGCTGGCGCTGGAGGATCGCTACCACTCCGACTTCGGGCGGCAGGATCGCTTCCATGACTTCGACCACAGGGACCGCGGCCGCTACCAGGATCACTGCTTGGACAGGTTGGCGAGGCACTGGCTCTTCTTCTTCCTATTCCTTCAGGGAAATTTGGTGTCTTTTTGTGGCTTGAATGGTGTCAGCAGAGTAAAAGAAATCACTCTGCTGCATTTCTCATATCTAATTTCACACGTGTTTGCGATCCTTTGTTTCCGTGGGTTAGGGACATACCAGAAAGAGGCTGCATAAAGATTATAAGCAAAGTCCTAATGTAGTCTGCTGTGATGCTGATGGAGATAGGACAACTTCTCTCAAGTTTCTCTCTGCTTTATGACCCCCCCCAAGATTTAGCTATTTCCTTTTGCTTTAAAACTTTCCCTATTTTCATTTTTGCAGCCTGGCTAATGCAGGTTTCTGGTGCCACAGAATGGAAAAATATTTTCTGTGTGGTACCATTGAGACTTCCATTTGCTCTCAAAAGATCTGTGGTGAAAACTGTACTCTGTTTTTGCTTGTAACTGATTTCTGACAGTGGTAGGTTCACCCAGTATTCTCCCTTGGTATCACTGAGTACCTGGCCATCCTCAGTGGTGCCTTTTTTACCCATACTGTTACTTTGATCTCTTTTTATGCTATGAAACAAGAAGTCTTTTGAGTTATCTTGCCACTGAACATTAGCATCCAGATTTACAGCCTAACAAAGATTAACTTTTCGTGTTCCTTCGTGCAGATGCTGGAATTATCATTACTGTGTTGATTCAACTGAAACTTTTCTTTTTTGTTCCAGGAGAGACTGTACAAGGGGAATTCCAGATCGAGATGGGCAGGTGCGTTACAACCAAATTACTGCTTTAGTTAGAAACCAGAGCAAGCTGACCCTAAAGCAGAAAGGACACTGTGCACACAGCACAAACACAATCATTTCAGCTGAGATGTTTAAGCAGAGCTAATTTTGTGTGCTAATGAGCATAGAATGAATTATTAGGTTACCTGCTTGCTGGGCTGGTAGCCTCAGATACAGGCAAGGGGAAACCTCTGAGTGATGGGAGGATCTTTTTAGGCTGGTATGTGGCAGTAAAAGCTTTTGCTTGACCATCTTAGGTGTTAGGAGGGAGCTGCTGTATTTACTCAGCTGGCAATTATGTCTTCTGTCACATCTAAATAAAACAACTGTTGCCATAATGAAACAAGACTGTAAAAGGACAGGTGTGAAAATCAATGCCACAACAGGATTCAAAACCTTTCATTTCTGCAGAGAGGTAGAAAGTAGGCAGATGTTCTATGTAAAAATTAAAAATCTGTAGCCAAGAATGTAAACCTTAAAAAACTTTACCAAACAAAAAAGACCTCTCCCACCAGAGAACAGCATGGAATCAATGTCAATAAACAAAATAAATGCCTGAAGTGAACCATACCCAGCAATGGAACCTGTAAAAAATGAGACAGCTATATTTTTTTTTCTGACAGCTCATAGAAAGACAACATACAAAAAGCCAAATTTTTGCAATCTTGGGAGAAAACTTGTGTTGATTTTTAGCATAACTGTGTCCTGTTTGCCTTTCAGCACTACCCAGATGAACGGCACGGGGGGCCTGACCGTCACTCCCGGGATTCCTGGGGTGGCTACAGCTCTGACAGAAGGATGAGTGAGGGAAGAGGGATCCCCCCACAAACCCGGTTAGTGCCTGGCAAATCAGGGAAGTGATTTGGGGCTCTTAACATTTCCTCAGTGAACCTTTGAAGGGTGACAGCAGAAGCAGCTTGACAAGTGTGAATCCTCTCTCCAGATCTTTGAGCGTCTGGAGGAGCAGGAATTGCCACGTGTAGCTCCCACATGCCTCGGGAGAGCGAAGCTCTGTAGTGAGGATAGAGCTCCTCAGTTAGCTCAGCTCTTGACTGTGGTTCTCCTGTAAATAACTTTCATTTCTACAGATGAGATTTAGAGATGCCCGAGTAAGGCCTATGCAAGTCTCATTCATGGCCAGTGGTCAGGTTTTAAAGGAAATTGAGTGAGAAGTGTCTGCAGTGGAGGGGGTAGAGAACTTGGACTCACCTGGAATCGTGGTTTCCCTTTAAACCAGTTAATCAAGCTGGGCATATTCCAGCTGCATAATTTTCAGACAGAGGAGTGGCAGCCAATGAATTGATCCATGCCCAAGTATTTCAATATCCTTGATGTCTCTGGATCAAAAAAGACAAGATTTGTTGTTTGAAGGATGCTATTCAGCAAGTGTCTCTCATTGTTTCTCTTTGACCAGTTCTGATTGCAGTGACTGGGTGGCTACAGCTACAGCTTGATTAACCATTTAACACACTATGGCATGGGGTATGGTGTTTGGCTTTACCCTGTGCTGCTCAGTGGGTAGGGGACATACCTAGAAGATGTTCTTTTATTTTTTTAAGAGATGGACGTGACTGGGGAGATCATGGTCGAAAGTTAGAGGGGCATCAAGATCGTACATGGCAGGGAAATGTGGATGGAGGAGTGATGGGACGGGATCATGAGAGATGGCAAGGTACACTTGCTGCTTACCAGTGTGATCGTGGTTTTTTTCTGTGAATTACTGCTGCTGAACCTTCTAGTGGTAGTTAAATTACTGAGAAAGCAAATGAAATTCTGGGAACAAGGTGACATTTTTATTAAGGAAACACAAAAGCCTGTATTTTTCTTTTTTTTTCTTTTTTTTTTTCTTTTTTTGTCTTTTTTTTTCTTTTTTTGTCTTTTTTCCCTTTTTTTCTCTTTTTGAATTAGGTGGTGATAGAAGCATGCCTGGTCAATCAGGACCAGGCCATGGGATGACTCGAGGAGGAACGTCAGGGTAAGAAGCTCTGCCAGAATACTTGTAATATTTTTATCTAATAGTTTGATCCGTATAAAGGAAAAAAAAAAATCCAAAACATACCTTCAACTTCTACTTTAGCCCTGGATTGGAACAGGGGGGTGGAAAAAAAACCTGCCAAAATTAAAGAAGCATCTTTCTGAGTATGAACTTGCCTGGGCCAACGTGTGTGGCGTTGTTTGCAGGCGTGGAGGCTTCACTGCAGCCGGGAGCCAGGGCCAGGTGCTGCAGGGCAGTGGGATCCCAGGTGTGTTTGCAGGCCCAGAGAGGACAACCAGACTGAGTGAGCCCCGCTTCAGCCGCCGCTACTGACGGCGCTCGCTGTACATTGATGTATTTTATTTGGTTTTTTTAATTGCCACGTGACAGTGGTCGTGAGTTTTATTAACCAGGGTCACCTTGAGTTTGTGATTCTAAAAAAAAAAAAAAAAAATTAGCAAGACTGCTGCTGCACTGTAGCCAAATACTGTGTCAACTTGGTTTGGGGTTTGTTGGTTTTGGTTTGGTTTGTTTGTTTGTTTGTAATGAACATGGTGTTGGTCAAGCATCACTTTTAAGTTTCTGCAAGTGAAACATTCCATTTTTAAAAATAATAAAATCGGTTTATGGCTACTGTTTTTTTTTGTTGTTGTTGCTGGAGTCTTTGGCAACCTCATGAGAGGTGTAAAAGTCATTAAAGAGAAAATCTGCTTTTAGCACTGTGAGATTTGAAGAGAAGTGATACCTTTGTCACAAATGTGGATGTGGAGAGGCCTGTCAGACTCTGCCTGTTCTTAATGATTTCCTTTGTGCCATTAAGTTTGAGTATTCTTTCTGCATTTCCATTTTAGTTTTCTGTCATTACGGGAGTAGAAGGAGGAGGAAGAAAAAGGAGGAGGAAGAAGGAAATCTGGGAGAAAGGGGGAAGGAGAGAGAGGAGAAATAAGAAGGAAGGAGGCTTGAAAAGTAGGAACTAGTTCAGTCTAGGCATCAGTGCTCTCACCTTGTTCACCTCCCTCTGATGCTGATAGCTTTCTCTGCTCATTGCTTTGCATCTTCAACATAAAAACCTAAAAGCCAAACATGAAAATAGTCCCAGGGTCAGAAATTACATCTTCTCCCCCCTCAGCACCACCACAAACACCTGGGGGCCACAGGTGGGGCAGAGAGGGGATGCTGAGGGGAGGAGGATGCAGGAGAGCCCAAGAACAGGTGTCCCCTGGGGCGGTGTTCACACGTTTGGGGTGTTGTAACAGTCATAAAATTTCAGTTCCTCCTTCTCTTCCCTATGGCCTATTTTTATTTCTTCCATCCACTTCTGCCTTCCCATCCCTATGTTTTAATTCCTCCCTTTAAAACTTCTTATTCTTACACATACTGAAAAATAATATTAATTTACATAATTACTGAGGGTTATTTCCAAATAAACCTCTTCATCTACTGTATTATGTACAGAATGTTGGAAGGTAAGGAATTCTGAGTACTGATATATATAGTTCTGAACCATACAAATATAACTTCTGTAGCTACATAAAAATTAAACATAAAGAAAATGTAAGAAAATATAAGAAAATGTAAGAAAATAGGTTCTGTAAGGAGGAAATAGAGGTTTCTGTATTTATATTTTCCTGTCTCTGAGAGACTTAAGTCAGATTTTGGATGGGTTTAACTCGGTGTGGGTGAGGAACTGTAGGTTCTGAGGGCTCACTGGTGCCGCCACCTGGGTCAGGGTGGTACTGCAGGGTAGGAGCAGGCACGGTGACATCAGGGACTCACTGGTGTCCCCAGCACAGGGACATCAGGGACTCACTGGTGTCCCCAGCACAGGGACACCGGGGCTCACTGGTGTCCCCTGGCAAATAAAAATGGAGCTAGAGGCAAGAAGCGAGTGCATGCAGAGTTCCTGGCTAAACCTGCGATGGTTGCAGTTGCACAGGCACAGATCCCAAACCAGGAGTGGTGACAGCAAGGGACAGAGGTGCACAGGGGTGGTGTTTTTATAGAAAGGGAGAGACCTGAGTGCAGATGGGGTGGGGCGTGGAGGGGGCTCACACAGGAGGTGGTGTTGGGGTCTGCAATGTGTGTGTAGGTGTGGGCTGGCCAGTGGAAGATGCCATGGTGGCATCATGGTATCACCATGGTGGCTCTGGCTGGTGCTCAGAGTGTGCCACACCCAAGATGGGCATGGCTAAAACTCCAGTGTGCCACCCCAAGGTGGTGGGCTTGGCCAGAAGTCGGTTTTCGTTGCACTCAAGAAGGCATTGCAGGCTGGAAGTCCAAGTTGGCCCCCTCCAACACAGTTGGGCAGGGTGACAGTCATTGGTACCACCCTGAAAGTGGTGGACAGAGCCACGTGTCAGTGCCACACTCAGGATGGTGGACAGAGGCAAAAGTCACAGTGCCACACTCAAAATGGCAACGGGAAGCAGTGACTGTGTCATCCCAAACTCAGAATAGCGGCCGCAGCCAGGAACCCCCGTGCCATCAAACACCCTCCTGGCTCGGGGGCAGTTCAGAGGTGGACCCCAGGAGTCCAAGGGCAGCCAGAGCCACCAGGATTTCTCTTGTCTCAGAGAAATTTCCAACGCTCACAGTTTTAGGAGGTGGAATCCCCCTCTGGGCCACAGGCCTCACAAGTGAGCCGAAATCCTAAAGTATCACACATCAAGGATTGCTTCCACACAAGATCTGTGAGGACTGAGGGCCAGTTGTTGTTTTCAGGTATTACCTTCATGTTATCGGGTTTCCCATCATTCAGAGGACACTCAGATGTCCTCACAAAAAGGTGGAACTGTTCATTATCATCCAAATGTTCTGAGCAGACCCCACCGTGTCATCTACAGCCACAAAACCTCAGAAAGATGGATATTCTCATATATCCAAATAACTGCTGAGAAACTTCATCATCATCCAGACTGGCCCTGATTTTGAGTCACTCTGCTGTCCTGGAGATTCACAGATCCCAGAAAAGCTGCTGAACTTCAGATTTTTGTCAATATAAAAGTTTCCCTGCTACCACTTTCCATCCCAGCACCGCCATTCCTGCCTTGCTGTCGGAGCCCACATGGTCACCCTTCTGCTGCCACGTTCCTCAGCAATAGTTTATCCACAAAATGCCCCAAAACCCATCTCAACTCCTGGCACAAGGCTGGAAGGAGTCCCAGGAGCTGGCAGTCACCAGAGTGGTGATTCCATAAGGGATCCCAGCAGGATCCACAGGGACCCGAGTGACATCCAGAACTTCACGGAACAACAGCTGAACAGGAAAACAACACAGAAAAAGTGTTTGCTGAAGGGCAGGATTCCACACAGGAAGGAGTGTGGGGTTGGTTTGGGTTTTTTGGGAAACTCACCCATTTTCCCATCAAGTTACAGAAATCTAACATGAAAATAAGCGGTGTGCCCCTTGGATACTCACATGCGAGTTCATCACCTGTCACTTCAGGGTTAACAAATTGTTTCACTGCCCCAGAACATCACCACAAAGAGATTCCAGAATTATATTTAACAGCTCACAGCACAACCCAGAAATTTAAGCCTTGGAAAAACAAAATTTTCCCTTTATTTATATTGCACCTGTTTCACAAAGAGCTACATGGCAGAAGTTCCTTCTGCTGCAAAATGCTGCATCAGAAAATAATGGGTTTGAACACAGATTAGAAAGGAACACTGAGCTTTGGAAATCATCATGAGCTGACCCCAAAATACCAGCACTATTTTTACAAATCACTGTGCACTTACAAAGCCTAAGTCTTGCCTCAATTTTATTTAGCATTCAGTTATTTAAAAACCACAAGCATTTTACCAGATGATAAAGACACTCTTACCACCTCTGGGTACTAAAATGGAACCTGCAGGGGGAATATTTTTAAGCTGTCTTGGAAAGGCACCAAATACTCCTTGGAACTACCAACAGAACACCCACGTGGAGTGGGGAGAGACTGGTTTTCTTATTTCCACAACTACCCAGGACTGCTTGGGGAAGAATTTTTTCAATGTTGTGATGTATTTATGTGTAAAAATGTGTAGTGGAAATCAAAACACCTCGAGGGAGTCCAGTGCCTGTGCTCTAACCCTGGTTACAGCATTCCTGTGTGAGGCATCACCCACAGCAAAACATCCACCCAGCTCCTCACCAGTGGCCTTCATGACACTCCCAAAGCTTCCTGTGAGGAATAAACCCAAAACAGCCCCCTTGGCTTTGATTTAATAACAGGTTCATTGTACACAATTATGTTAATTTTGGCCTCTTTATTCCAGTGTTTCTGTACTTTCTACACACCTGTGCACAAACACGCTGCTCATTTACAAACCAGCTCAAAACAAACATCTCACTTGGCCAAACAAAAACCTTGCAGAGGTCCAAGATTAAAATGTTTATTACAGCAGTGTCAGGAAGTTCCTTTCCTCCCTGAATGTGGGCAATATTGCTTAAGGACTGGGATTTGGGATCCGGCAAATCCACCCCGTGTAAGCGACTCACTGACCATTCTAATTCCACCTTGCACCACACCCAGCCATCCCTGCTGCCCACAGAGCTGGGCTGGAGGAGCAGGAGCTCTCCAGGGAAGAGAATCATTCTCTGGGCCCTAAATTATCCCCATTATCCCCATGGGATAACCTCATTTTGGGCCAGTCCCTACAAGCACAGGAGTTTTGTTTCAGAGACAAGAGCGAGGCCACAGGCCCAGACTGGAATTTGGGACAGTTCTGAACAGGAAACCCTCAGCTGATGCCAAGACTACAGAAAAAGCTGAGCTTAAAAAGCTTAAAAGCTGTTGTGGTAAATGTGCAGGGCAAGCTTACTCTGAACACACGTGCCAGAAAAGGTTTAGTTATGTTCTTTAAAAGGAAACAAATCTGAACATGTTTAATAAAGCCTCGGGTCTGGTTTTTATTTACTCCCCGTAGCAGCTGAGGTTGTAGGAACATGGCACAGCAGCAGACACAGCAGAGGATGTGGACAGATGAACTCAGAGTATGCCTGAACATCTCTGGGGCTCCCACTGCCACTTTTTTTCTGGTATTTTATCCCCTGTGATGTAGAGAAGAATAATCTCCATTTTCTAAAAGGGAAACTGAGGCACAAAGATCACAATTCAGCATTTGCAGGAATTTAACAGGTCACAGCTGCTCCCTTTGAAAGCAGTGGAGAACTTCAGCCCCTCTTGAAGATCTCAGCCTGAACCTCTCACCCTCAAATCAATCTCTTGCAAAGTCAGCACCTAATCTAAATCCAGAGTCCACCAAATCCTTGTTACTTGCAGGTAAAAGCATTGAAATGTTGGGCCATGAGCCCTAGAAATACACATTTGGCACTTTCTCTGTTTTAAAAAGAAATAATTATACAGACATTAATACTGGAACAGACAAAAGAAATTTCATCTGAAGGAAAGCTTTCCTCATGACCTTGTTCACCCAGGTTAGGGACACATTTATTTAGATTTTCTACCAAAAGCTCAAGTTTTCAGCTGGCATGAACAGACTGAACTCCAGTGGAGGAAGTTCTGCTCACACACAGCAGCAGCATTTTTAACTCATCTCTGAAGTTTCAGAAGGACCATTTCCTCTTTTGGACTCTCTGGTGGAAGGCTGTTCATGTAACTACCACCCCAGCAGCCAAAAGAATAA